CGTTTTGATTCGCTTTCTTCATCCAACTCCTGAACAATATGCATATGTATACAGACGAAGATTCTATGCTTCTTATTCAGTTAAGCGATTAAAATAAAATATTTGTTCCCTTTAATCAGTTGCACATGTATTCATCCATTGATGACAACAATTCACTTCACCTCTTACATACGTTTATCTTAAATGTTTTAACATTGATAGATGTAGAAAAACTCGTTCTACTAAATTTTCATAACATAGATTATTTAGTAATGATGGATCGTGGCTAGCAGTGGAATCCAGGATGCGCATTTCGTTCTATTTGAGACTCACTGGTCAGCTGGATGTACCTGCTTCCCAATGAGTAACGTTGTTCCCATCGGGACTAAACATACTTAAAAGACAGACAATATCGAGGTGTCCACATAGAAGCCCATATGCCAACAGAGACTGATCAATTCGGTCCAATCAACGACGGTGTAATACAAGCAATAACATTAGATTATTATTTTAGGCTGGCCTGAATGATAGACTGTTTTATGCATAAGAGAGGTTTACGTTAAAATAAAACTTCTATCATGGTAAGATGATTCAACCTTCATCTTGACTAAAATCATCCTTTGAGGGAGTTGTGGAGATTTGGAAATATTTCTAGTTGTTATTCATCGTAGACTGACATGAGTTGAAGGAACAGAGGAAACCTAGGAGCACTGGACAGCTGTTTCGTTTTAGTATTGGACTGACTCCTCAGCACAGCGCACCCACAACCCCACCCCACCAGGATCGAACCCGCGACATTCAGGTTCCGTCACCAGCGCATTACCATTGAGCTAGCCACTGGGTCACAATCCAGTGCTCCATATTTCCAACTTCTGTTAGCTCACGATGTAGTGCAACCGCCACCCAATGTCATCGTTGAGTAACTGTCCTCACTAGTATCAGGCTTTGACTCTACTGGTCACGACTTGTCATTGGAACTTCGGGAATACTTCTCGAAATCAGTCACCAATGAGCACCAGTTGAATTGAATTTTTGAGGGAGTTGTGGAGATTTGGAAATATTTAAAGTTGTTATTCATCGTAGACTGACATCAGTTGAAGGAATAGAGGAAACCTGGGAGCATTGGACAGCTGTTTCGTTTTAGTATGGGACTGACTCCTCAGCACTGCGCACCCACGAACCTGCCATTATTACTTCTAAATAAATTCCACGAATGTCTTCATAGCATTGCTAGCGTATAGTTGAATCATACTTCAGGTGATGATGAAGTTAAATGTAGAATATTAGATAAGAAAGGCAAGTTAGTCGACAAAATTGCTAACCTTCATCAACTGAGGTTGCTTTGGCTAAAGGTGATCTGACTATGAGGTGATAAAAGTTTATGAAACCTCTGAATGCTGATTTGAGTTTTGTAGGGAGGTGAAGAATATCTGACTGGAGTACTTGAGACAATGGGAGTCAGAGGTAGGTGACTCTTGATGATGCGGTTGAAAAGTGTTCACAATCAAATGAATGTTTAGACCCTTTGACATCTTTAAGGGTTCAGACATTTTCATTCAGTCTCACACATTTTCTGTGTTCTCCTATCCACATTGATCTATTTTATTATCATTCATTTTCTATTCAGTTATTCTTCACCGTTATTGTGAAGTGTGGGAACTTGGAATGAAATGATTAGTATCATATTCGTCTTAATTATCTCTTGTTTCTTTGTTTACCTTGAACATCTTATCTTTCCTGTCTATCTGAAGGGATGCGTGACCATGTAGACCATCATAATGTCAGATAGTTGGCGATAATCTGTAGAAAGCGTCAACTGCCTATAGTTAACCCATCCACCATAAGACTGCATTATGCACTGTGAACAACTTGGCTTGTTAAACAATCTATTAATTATTGGTTCACTCTACAACCTAACCAGTTGAACATCATCTGTCATCCAGGAATTCATTAGGATATAGAGTGTGCAGTCACATAGAACTTTGAAATGATCACTTGATCTAAATCAGGTGTTTACCGGTCAAATATTTGGCCTCAGGTTATTTAAATGACATAACTTCGTTATCGATTTATCAATTCTTAATGGTTGTGATTCAACTACACACGGCACAGACGAGGGCGTCAAAGCCAGCCAGCATCGGAAATACAGCGAGACAGGCGTTCATTAACCTGAAAACCAGTGTGGAGATCTGCACTCAGCATGTGAAACAAGATCCGGATTTTCAACATCAACGTCAGTCAAGTCAGTGCTTCCATGTGATGGTTGAGAGACTTGGTGCTTTACGAAAGGCATTTCCAACAAACTACACACATTCATCAACAACTGCCAACTACGCTCACTCGTTACTGAAGCTCAGATGAAATGGTCTGAATAATGAGAATAAGCAAGAAGGGACTCTGGTTGGTTGGCTGGCTGGCTGGTGACGAACCAACGAAGCAAGATCTATTGCTGAAGAAATATGCAGTGGAAGGAAGTGGAAGTGGAGATGGATTGGGCATACACTCAGAAGGCCGAATGGGGACATCAGGCGCCATGCCAGGATATCGAGTGAAGCCAGATGTGAAATGACGAGTTTTGTGTGGGAGTTGAGTGTGACATGGAGGAGATGGTGTGAGGAAGAAATGAGAGGTTGTGGGCAGTCGTGGGGACAGTTTCAAAAGCTTGCAGAGAAGGGAGTGGAATGGAGGCGTGCTACTGAAGCTTTATGTTCCACTAGGAACCCATGGGACAAATAATAATAATAATATAATAATGGTTATTATTAAGCTTCTAATCATTGTAAGAGCGTTTCACAAATGATATAGCATCAATAATTACTTTCAGTGACGGTTTTATTCTCTTGTACTTATGAGACAGCAATCAACGAGAAATGATATCTATCTACAACTCTATATTATTACTTACCAAGATAAAATTTAAAGTTTTAGTAAATCTATGCGGTACTGAATAATTATGATACAGTGATCTCTTAGTGCAATATACATAATCAACCCACTGGGGTTTATTGACACTTTTAATTTTACGTTACTATACAGGGTCGAATTGCTCGACCTCCGTTGCCAAATAGCCTTCTATACGGATGCCTCGATACTGCCGGATATTAATGATTTTACATTCATATTGATGACTAAGACGCACGTTTCGTCCTATCTTGAAGTCGTCAGTTGAATATTCCTACACCCCAGTGAGTGTTGTTCTCACTGGGATTCGAATTTAGCACCCATCGTTTCAAATTTCAAAGCGTTTTTAGATATTAATAAATATGTTATATGTTCTTGCGTCAGCATCGAGCGCGTCACAGTTAACATCCGATACATAGTTCAGTTGTACATGAGTCACTTATAAACTGGATAGCTTGATTTTAAAGTTTGACTTCAAGGGATTTGGGTTGTTTAAGTCAAGTCAAGGAACATGTGTCTGTCTAAATTTTCATATAAGTCTTAATGAGAAATACTAACAGACATGAAACATGGCACATGCATAGCTGACCTTCAACGTCCAATATCCTATAGTGTTCGGCTGATACTCTGATCCTTCTCAAGGTGTTGGGTCTAGCCTAGAATGAAATATCTATCCAGCCAGTCTTAGTGGTTCGCCAATTGATGTCAGTCTGTGTTGAATACTACTTTGAAACTGAATATCATTGTCTTACATTTTTAACTAACTCTTATAGATAAAGTGATCATTTCTTCATCTACATTTCTATCCTCTGATTTATCATTACTATCAGTAGCACGTCACCATATCACTCCCTTTTCTCCAGTCTTTTGAATCTGGCTCCACAACTTCCCATAATCTTTTATTTCTTCCTCACACAATCTCCTCCATGTCACGTTTGCCCCGGATGACCAACTCGTCGTTTCCCCCTTTGAGTCTAGTCCGATGCATGATATCCACAAATGGTCTTCTCACTGCATCCCCAATCCATCTCCACTTTTTTTCTGCATATTTGTTAGGTGATGGATTCTTGGTTAGTTCGTTGCCAGCCATCTGATCTTCAATATCGAGCGTAGGCAGCGATAGTTTTGACTAACTAACAGCCATACTATTAAACTGATACCTGATATAAATCAATATTTGTTTACTTGTTTATCTTTCAAAATTTCATCAGGTGCATACCATCATGTCATTTGAGTACATGTAGCATACATTTTTATTCGCCTTTAAGTATATCCTTCATGCTTTCTCTTGAAGCTAAACACATAAATGGAGATCCAATGGAAACATTGAATATCTTTTCAGGCACCCTGCTACTTGTCAACTATCTTACTCAGTGTTACGCAATCTTTCATATATCAAATCAAACTGAACACGTTTTGCTATCTTCATTTATTGACAAATTATCCTGGTTTGTTTTTAAATTTTCAGTTACCATATACTCAGTGTATATTTCCTTATTCCCAAAGTATAATATCAATAATAGTTTTCTTAGTCGATAAACAGATACTGGTTGATGATTGAAAGTGAAATGGAAGCTTAAGTCTCAGCGAGATTCGAACCAATGACCATCAGCTTTCTGTCCCGATCCTCTACGAATTTAGCTACTCGACTCAACTGTATCATATTGATTATCAATTTGTTTATCTAATTTCCTATAGATTTGTTTTAAGATGTGAAGTTCTGACTGAATAGCCAATGTGAGTATGATCAATCGATAATAACATATCATGAATTCATTAGGGGGTTAGGCAAAACCCTTAGTAATTGAAGTGATACAATAATCTGATTAACAATCGAGTATTGTAGCTCAAGTTGGTAAAGCATTGAAAAGGAAACCTGATTGTTACTAGTTTGAACTCTGCTATAGTCTAGACTTCTATTTCACCTTTCAATCATCACCCAGTATCAATAATAAGTCTACTAGATTACAGCTATCTCAAAGAGTCAAAGTAATAAACACATTAACAAGACTCAGTGTTGTTTCTCATCTTATTTTTTTATATAAATATTTATATAGATGTTGATGAAAGCGGTTTTTTAATTTATTTTTTTTCTGCTTGATTTTATCTCTTTATCGTAGATAAGTGTTTTTCGAATGGGTGAAGGAGATAGTGATGAAATAGATATCACTATATTGACTGCTCTTTTACAGGGTAAGTATATTTTAATTTTTTATTGTCGTTGATAGAAATAGATTTTTTCTTTTTCTCTTCAATGTTCACCTTAATAAAACAAGATAAAAAAAAAAACACGTTTGATTTAAGTGAATACGTGTTTCTAATAAGATTTTCATTAATTTCAATCTTGTAATTTAAAATTCTATTATAATACACTCTGTACATAATATGTTAATGAATACATTTAATAACTCAAAGATTAGAGTTCATTTTGTATATATAGTTTAAGGTATTCACTATTAGTATAAAATAAATCAAACATTAAAAATTATTTTCGTCAGCGTCAACCAAGAAGTAATTTGGTAGGCAGCTGCTTCAACACTACGCAATACCACAAAGTTTTATCAATCTCATTTAACAACTAGCTATATGAAGACGCAACATGCCAAGTAATTCATAACGGGAAGCTCAGTGATGATTTTGAAGTGAAGACAGGAGATAGTAGTAAAACAACGCTGTCTAATATCACCCATGATATTCCTCATTGTAGTCGACTGGACTCGATCATGCAACAAACAGTGAGAAGTGAGGAGAGGGGGATACGCTGGACCGCAGAAAAGAACCTACAAGATTTAGATTGCGCCACCAATGACTTGTGTCTAATGTCTGGTGGCACAAACGTGAAGATGTACAGGCGAAAAACTAACATGTTGACAGAAGAGGCTGGGCTGGGCTGGGCTGGGCAGGGCAGGACACAGCAGCGAAGACGGGACATCCTTCAAGTGAACGTGGAGAAGACAGAGGTTGAGGTGATGAAGATACACAACAAACACCACCACAAACAACAACAACAATCATCTCCAATCACCATCAATAGGACAAACTTGAAGGAAGTAGTCTCTTTCACCTACACCTATATAGGCAGGCAGCACTGTTTCAACTACAGGCGGCATAAGCACAGGCACAGGCACACACGAGGAGGTCAAAGCCAGTCAGGATCGGAAAGATAGCAAGACAGGCGTTCATTAACTGAAACCAGTGTGGGGATCGACTGCACTGCACTGCACTGCACTCAGCATAAAGCATCAACAACATCCGGATACGGATCCGGATTTTCAACACCAACATCAGTCAAGTCAGTGCTTCCATGTGATGGTTGAGAGACTTGGTGCCTTACGAAAGGTATTTCCAACAAACTACACACATTCATCAACAACTGCCAACTACACTCACTTGTTACTGAAGCTCAGATGAAATGGTCTGAATAATGAGAATAAGCAAGAAGGGACTCTGGTTGGTTGGCTGGCTGGCTGGCTGGCTGGCTGGCTGGCTGGCTGGCTGGCTGGCTGGCTGGCTGGCTGGCTGGCTGGCTGGCTGGCTGGCTGGCTGGCTGGCTGGCTGGCTGGCTGGCTGGCTGGCTGGCTGGCTGGCTGGCTGGCTGGCTGGCTGGCTGGCTGGCTGGCTGGCTGGCTGGCTGGCTGGCTGGCTGGCTGGCTGGCTGGCTGGCTGGCTGGCTGGCTGGTGACGAACCAACGAAGTAAGAATCTATCGCTGAACAAATATTCACTGGAAGGAAGTGGAAGTGGAAGTGGAGATGGATTGGGCATGCAGTGAGAAGGCCGACTGGGGACATCACGCGTCAGGCCAGACACTTGAGTGGAACCGAGATGGGAAACGACGAGTTTTGTGTGGGAGTTGAGGGTGACATTGAGGAGATTGTGTGAGAAAGAAATGAGAGGTTGTGGGCAGTCGTGGCTACAGTTTCAAAAGCTTGTTGAAATGGGAGTGGAATGTAGACGTGCTACTGAAGCCCTATTTCCCATGGGGAACCCAAGGGACAAATAATGGTTCTCGTTCGACAGCTCTATCTATCTTTATTCTTTCTCATTTAACAAATCTATCATCCACGCAGCATTGGCACAAACGGCTTGTCGTTATGGATTACTAAATTTAGCTGTTCTTCTGTATATTTACTAAAACACCTTTGAGAAGTGGTTGACGAGAAGACCTCATTCCAACTTCATATAGAGCTGTCTGAGTATTTCTTCGTTAAATACAGAATAGATGTTTATTGGACATCTTAGAATATGTTCCTTTTAGCCTTTCCTTTATCAAACTATACTATTGTCTTTTATTATTTAACACATTCGTTTTTATATATCGTTTGTGCTTTGAAGTTTCTTTAGCGGTTGGTTGGATTTGTTTTCCGGGGTAGGGTTGCTAGCCGTATGCCCAACCTTCCCTCTTTACCCGGGCTTAGGACCGGCTAGTAACTAGTGAACTAGTTAACCAGGCGAGGTTATTTAACACATTCACAAAACAATAATATTATCTGAAGAGATATATAATTGAAAGTCGTTTGGTTTTCCCTTACAAAAATTATTTTCATCCCACTTTATGTTCATTGTTTTCGAGTTGGTTAAAGGTGAAATTCATATATAAGAAAGTCTTGACTGTTATAGTCATCATCATCATCATCTACAATGCCAGTAAACCTTTTCTAATGGATTCTTATATGAGTTTTTTTTTTAATAGATTTCTCTCTCTTTCTCTCTCTCTGATTAGTGATTTCTAACATCTAACTAGACATTTCATGGAAGAGATTTAAATGAATAGATGAATGGAGATGATGGTTATTTTTACATTTTCTTGTTAACTTAATCACTAAGTATTGTAGTGTAACAATTAATAACATTGAAATAAGGAATACTTTTCTTCCCTCTTTTTTTTTTGAAATATTTTTTCTCTACTTCCAATTACTTTAAAGTTTATATAAATTCAAACATACTGGAAGTGTTTATGAAATATGTTGTACAATTTAATTATAAAGTTGATTAATAATAATTTACTTTTTGTTAAAGTAATACTAATAAATGTCAAAACAAAAAAAAATGAAAATTTCAAACTGGATACGATATACTACTAAGTTTCGATTTAATATAAGTAGTACTAACCATTAGAATCTTGAAAGAAATGACTGATAGTTTGATCATATTGGATACCTACTAGCTATTTGTTTCAAGTATAACACGACTTGTCACTGAAATCAACGACTGATCTAACTTACAATGCTGCTACAATGCAGAGGTTATGCTTAGAATACTAGGCAAAGAAGGTAGATTCATCGATGAGGTTGTCAACTTTTATCAGCTCGAGTAGTTGGGATATGGCTTGTGAATGCCGCGCAACATATAATATCAGCTGAAGTAGGAAAAGTTTGTTAGAAAGTTAAAGTTAACTAGACTAAAACGTGGAACCAGTTAAATGGAATGAATAACTGACTGTTAATCTGATTTACATTAAGAGAATATGGATGTTGAGATGACAAAAATCAATGATTTGACACTCATGAAAGTTTAGCTCAATGTTTTATTCAAAATATTTCAACTGTATACACTCTTTATCGCCTTCTATGTATTGAATATATACTGATTCACATTCATGCATGTTTAATATCTTCTTTCAAACACTTTTTCAATGTTTATTTTCATTCATTTCCTGTCGTACTCTTCTAGCATGCTAATTTGAACTCATATAGTTTTTTTTTTTGCTAGATTTTACGTTGATCTGTGTATCTACCTCCTATACCTCACTATTTTATATAAATCAGACGAAATATGATAGTATTTCGCAAATAGGTTGTGCATAAATGGTCCTTTCTCGTCTAAGAATTTGTACTATACCAATATGATATGATTTAAAATGTTTATCTTGAAGTACAAAAATAATTTTTAGAAATTTTCTTCGCTACACTGTTTTTTTTATTATTATCTAATGAGACTATTTCGATGATTGAAGTACATTACTTCGCATCAAAGTATAATCCAGGAAATTCTATAAAACGATTCCCTTTAAAGATAAACTAGTTTTGCTTGTTTGATCTAGTAAGATCTTACAGATATTTGTAGATTGTTGATAAATGAATCCTAGAAGTTAGATCCGAGTTGACTAACTTTATTATTATCTTTACATTGCTAACTTAATGGTACCGGTTGATGATGACGATAGCCTTTATAGTTTACTAAAGAATTACAATATACTACTCAAAATAAATGTGTACTACATTTTTCTGTAGCTTAGTAAAATCAGCATTTGAAGCGCTCATATTTTCACGATCAATAGTCATAACATTCACTCTATAAGAGTGAGGTTCTCCTGCATTTTTTGAAATATAATCCACTGCACTTCTTTTGTAAAATTATACTATTCATATATATTTCAAGTTGTTATTCATCGTAGACTGACATCAGTTGGAGGAACAAGGAAAACCTGAGAGCACTGGACAGCTGTTTCGTCTTAATATGGGACTGACTCCTCAGCACTGCGCACCCACAACCCCGCCCCGCCAGGATCGAACCCGCGGCCAGTGCGTTACCATTGAGCTAGCCACTGGGTCAGAATCCGATGCTCCATATTTCCAACTTCTGTTAGCGCAAAATTCAAATGAACTGGTGCTCATTGGTGACTGGTTTCGAGAAGTATTCCCGAAGTTCCAATGACAAGTCGTGACCAGTAGAGTCAAAGCCTGATACTAGTGAGGACAGTTACTCAACGATGACATTGGGTGGCGGTTGCACTACATCGTGAGCTAACAGAAGTTGAAAATATGGAGCATTGGATTGTGACCCAGTGGCTAGCTCAATGGTAACGCGCTGGTGACGGAACCTGAATGTCGCGGGTTCGATCCTGGTGGGGTGGGGTTGTGGGTGCGCTGTGCTGAGGAGTCAGTCCCATACTACGACGAAACAGCTGTCCAGTGCTCTCAGGTTTCCAATGTTCCTCCAACTCATGTCAGTCTACGATGAATAACAACTAGAAATATTTCCAAATCTCCACAACTCCCTCAAAGGATGATTTTAGTCAAGATGAAGGTTGAATCATCTTACCATGATAGAAGTTTTATTTTAACGTAAACCTCTCTTATGCATAAAACAGTCTATCATTCAGGCCAGCCTAAAATAATAATCTAATGTTATTGCTTGTATTACACCGTCGTTGATTGGACCGAATTGATCAGTCTCTGTTGGCATATGGGCTTCTATGTGGACACCTCGATATTGTCTGTCTTTTAAGTATGTTTAGTCCCGATGGGAACAACGTTACTCATTGGGAAGCAGGTACATCCAGCTGACCAGTGAGTCTCAAATAGAACGAAATGCGCATCATCATCTAAATACTGATGAACTTTATGTATCTTATCTTCAGTCTGCTGAAAATCTATGCATTTTATGCGAATCAGTCAATCTGACAAGTGTCAGTAGATGGTTGTATCTTGCAATGATAAATGTCCTAACATATTGCAAAATGACTTACTTTATGGATACACATCTTGTTGGTTGATAGCAGAGTTCCTTTTAGATATATTCTTATCTATAAGTAAACATTTAGTAGTAGATATTTAATCAATTCATTGACATTTCTCTAACAAATATATGGGATAAACTGAGATTATATGACACTGAAGCTGAAAACATTAACCACCAATCTGAATCGCATGCTAAACGCATGGTTTATTGAATGTATTCCTCAGATTAATCGAAATTACCAGTCATTGGAAATACTGTATCATCTAGTATACGACAAAACATAATGTTACAGTGTAGTCTGTGAAACAACTTCTATTCTAATTTATTATTATTTGTCCCTTGGGTTCTTAATGGTATATAGGGATTCACTAGCACGTCTACATTACACTCCCTTCTCTGCAACCTTTCGAACCTGTCCCCACAACTGCCCACAACCTCTCATTTCTTCCTCACACCATCTCCTCCATATCACCCTCAACTCCCACACCACACTCGTCATTTCCGATCCCGGTTCCACTCGATATCCTGGCATGGCGCCTGATGTCTCCGAATGGTCTTCTCAATGCATGCCCAATCCATCTCCACTTCCACTTCCTTCCACTGCATATTTGTTCAGCGATAGCTTCTCGCTTCGTTGGTTCGTCATCAGCCAGCCAGCCAACCAACCAGAGTCCCTTCTTGCTTATTCTCATTATTCAGACCATTTCATCTGAGCTTCAGTAACGAGTGAGCGTAGGTGGCAGTTGTTGATGAGTGTGTGTAGTTTGTTGGAAATGCCTTTCGTAAAGCACCAAGTCTCTCAACCATCACATGGAAGTACTGACTTGACTGATGTTGGTGTTGAAAATCTGGATCCGTATCCGGATATTGTTGACGCTTTATGCTGAGTGCAGTGCAGTCGATCTCTACACTGGTTTCATATTAATGAACGCCTATCTTGCTGTCCTTACAATCCTGTCTGGCTTTGACGTCCTCGTCTGTGCCTGTGCCTATGCCGCCTGTAGTTGAAACAGTGCTGCCTGCCTATATAGGTGTAGGTGAAAGAGACTACTTCCTTCAAGTTTGTCCTATTGATGGTGATTGGAGCTTCTTGTTGTTGTTTGTGGTGTTGGTGGTGGTGTTTGTTGTGTATCTTCATCACCTCTACCCCTGTCTTCTCTACGTCCACCTGAAGGATGTCCCGTCTTCGCTGCTGTGTCCTGCCCTGCCCAGCCCAGCCCAGCCCAGCCTCTTCTGTCAACATGTTAGTTTTCGCCTGTACATCTTGACGTTTGTGCCACCAGACACTAGTCACAAGTCATTGGTGGCGAAATCTAAATCTTGTAGGTTCTTTTCCGCCGTCCAGCATATCCCTCTCTTCTCACTCCTCACTGTCCGTTGCATGATCCAGTCCAGTCGACTACAATCAGGAATATGATGGGTGATATTAGACAGGCTTGTTTTACTCCTGTCTCCTGTCTTCACTTCAATAACATCACTGGGCTTCCCAAACTTGTTCTTTTTTTCCACTTCTGGTTACAGTTTTTAACTTTTTTCCATTCAGTACTATGAAACACAGGACATATGCTTATTCATTATAGTCTAGTTTTATTCAGTTACTGTTAATTGTCCTAGTAACTAACATACGTTTTATTGGATTCTAGTTTCAGGTCAAAATCTTACACCAGCTGAACAGTTATCACTTACTATGGCTTGGAATAGACCAGATATTGCTCGTTCAAAGTCTTCGCTAAATTCAATAGTTGGTCCGTAAGTTTTTAGTCTAATAAATACAATCATATAAATGATATCATTTCCTTCTCAATATTATATGAATAGAAGTGCTAACAGTCTTATGAATACTTCTGTAGTTTACACTAATGTCATTGTTGTCTCATTCATACCTCTCGATAAGTGGTTTGTAAAGATTTCATCATGGAATGAAATCAGTTGAAGATCTTAGAAAAATAGTTTCGGACTACTGGTCAACAGTGCTGTTGAACACTCTTACGTAGAGTGGTATAGTGCTACATAGTATATTCCTATATCCCTTAAGTCAGAGAGATGTGGCTAAAGAGTTAATATAACTTCAAAGTTTCATTCAATCTGGAGGTTTGTTGGAATTTATTTATTTATTTCAGAATGATATTCATTCATCATGAACAAACTTCAGTTGGAGAAACATTGACAACCTGCGAATACTGGAAACTTGTTTCGTTCTAGTATGGGACTCCTCAAAAATGCGCACTCATGACTCTACCAGAGCTCAAATCCAGAGTCTTCAGGTTCCCTGGTCAGCACATAACCGTTGAACCACTGGGTCTGTATCCAGTTGTCCATATTTCCTATTTCCGTCAGTTTACGATATAACGCAACCGCCATCCACTGCCATTGTTGAGCTTTATAACATGAAATCTTCCATCCCTAAAACGATTTGCATTACTTAAATATCGGTTTGTTTTTCAAATGATAGGCTCTGTAGGCTCAAAAATCTCAATATATAATTCAAGAGATGATGAATTCGAAGTGAAGACAAGTGTAAAACAAGCCTGTCTAATATCACCCATCATATTCCTGATTGTAGTCGACTGGACTGGATCATGCAACGGACAGTGAGGAGTGAGAAGAGAGGGATATGCTGGACGGCGGAAAAGAACCTACAAGATTTAGATTTCGCCACCAATGACTTGTGACTAGTGTCTGGTGGCACAAACGTCAAGATGTACAGGCGAAAACTAACATGTTGACAGAAGAGGCTGGGCTGGGCTGGGCTGGGCAGGGCAGGACACAGCAGCGAAGACGGGACATCCTTCAGGTGGACGTAGAGAAGACAGGGGTAGAGGTGATGAAGATACACAACAAACACCACCACCAACACCACAAACAACAACAAGAAGCTCCAATCACCATCAATAGGAGAAACTGAAGGAAGTAGTCTCTTTCACCTACACCTATATAGGCAGGCAGCACTGTTTCAACTACAGGCGGCATAGGCACAGGCACAGACGAGGACGTCAAAGCCAGACAGGATTGTAAGGACAGCAAGATAGGCGTTCATTAATATGAAACCAGTGTAGAGATCGACTGCACTGCACTCAGCATAAAGCGTCAACAATATCCGGATACGGATCCAGATTTTCAACACCAACATCAGTCAAGTCAGTACTTCCATGTGATGGTTGAGAGACTTGGTGCTTTACGAAAGGCATTTCCAACAAACTACACACACTCATCAACAACTGCCACCTACGCTCACTCGTTACTGAAGCTCAGATGAAATGGTCTGAATAATGAGAATAAGCAAGAAGGGACTCTGGTTGGTTGGCTGGCTGGCTGATGACGAACCAACGAAGCGAGAAGCTATCGCTGAACAAATATGCAGTGGAAGGAAGTGGAAGTGGAGATGGATTGGGCATGCATTGAGAAGGCCGACTGGGGCATCACGCGTCAGGCCAGACACTTGAGTTGAACCGAGATGGGAAATGACGAGTTTGGCGTGGTTGGTGAGTGTGACATGGAGGAGATGGTGTGAGGAAGAAATGAGAGGTTGTGGGCAGTTGTGGGGACAGGTTCGAAAGGTTGCAGAGAAGGGAGTGTAATGTAGACGTGCTATTGAAGCCCTATTTTGCATTAGAAAACCATAGGACAAATAATAGTAATGAACGAGAACCCTTTTTTTTGAAATGACTAATTAGAAGTAATGTGACTATTTACTGACTTTTGGACGGCGTAACGGTTTATAAGCTTTTGTGTTTCTTTTTCACTCATAAAGCAATGAGATTTTCAAAAATCAATTTTTCAACGTATTTTTCAAAAATGTGGTTTATAAGATTGATCAAGGGCTGTTACGATCATTATATTCGTGTAAAGTTATTAGTTCAAATAAAGATTAATCGAAATAGTCTAGAAATTGAAATGAAAGGGTGTTAAAGTTTTACTCTTACAAATTACTGATTAACAATTAGGCTATGAAACAATGAAAACATGGTATGTAGGTTCTCTTTTTTGTTTATTATGAGTCGTCAAAAAAAAAATATATCTACGGCATTCTCCCTGATTTATTTCTTATGGCGGAACCTTTTATTTTATTATTATTATTATATTATTAGTCCCTTGGGTTCCTAGTGGAACATAAGGCTTCAGTAGCACGTCTCCAGTGAACTCTGTTCTCTGAGATCTTTTGAACCCGGTTCCACGACAGCCCAGAAGCTGGCATTTTTTCCTCGCACGACCTCCTCCATGTCACCTCTACCACAGACGCCCAACTCGTCGCTTCCCATGGGGATTCCACTCGAGTGCCTGGTGCGTAATGTCCCCAGTCGGCCTTCTCAGTGTATGCCCAATCCATCTCCACTTCCTCCTGCATATTTGTTGCGTGATAGGTTCTTGCTTCGTTGGTTCGTTCCCAGAGCTCCTTGTTGCTTATTCTTGTTATCTTGGCCATCTGATCTTCAGTATCGAGCCAGCGTAAGCAGTTGTTGATGAGTATCTGTAGTTTATTAGAAATCCCTTTCGTGACGCGCCAAGTCTCTGAACCATACAAGAGCAATGACTTGACTGACGTTGGTGTTGAAAATCCGCATCTTGTTCCACATGCTGAATGCAGAAGATCTCCACACTGGTTTCAGGCTAACGAACGCCTATCTTGCTTTTCCTATTCTGACTTTGACATCCTCGTCTGTGTCTGTGCCTGTGCCACCTGTAGTTGAAACAGTGCTTCCTAGATAGGTGAAGGAGGTTACTTCCTTTAAGTTTCTCTTGTTCATGGTGATTTGAGTTTGTTGTTGTTGTTGTTGATGATGATGGTGGTGGTGCGGTATCTTCATCACCTCTGTCTTCTCTATATTCACTTGAAGTCCCATCTTCGCTGCCCTGCCTCTTCTGTCAACTTGTTAGTTTTCACCTGTAGGTCTTCAAGTTTATAAGACATAAGGCACAAGTCATCGGTGGCGAAATCCAAATCTTCTAGGTTCTTTTCTGCAGTCCAGCGTATCCCCCTCTTCTCGCTCCCCACTGTTTGCTGCATGATGCAGTCCAGTTGACCACAATCAGGAATATCATGGGGGATAGTAGGCAACCTTATTTCATTCCTGTCTTCACAACCCTTTATTTACTTGAAATTAAATATTGGGATGTAGAGATTTAGAGTTATGGTGTGGTGGTACAAGGTATGATAACTTATTGGCACCCATATAAATTATTGGTTCTCTACTCATATACTCTTCTACTTCAAATAATCAAAAACACATAAAAACAAACTCTGAAGACTTTTATCATTCATTTAAAATTATCATACAGGTGAATATTTATTAGCTTGACCGGGGTACTGTAAACATGTATACAGAAAAGTATTATAGTCCTTAGGTCGAATTACTAAACTTCTAAACTATAGTTTCTATCACTAACGTCTGTCAGCTGGGACTATTTACAGGATTGGGAGTTGTGTGAAACGGCTTATGCTGATCAATATCCTTTTTAAACACATATATAATTTAGTATAATTGTTTTTATGTGATACCGTTGTTGATTCGACAGAATTGATCGGTCTCTATCGGCATATGGGCTCCTGTGTGGATGCCCCCATATTGCCAGCGTTCTATTTATGTTAATGATGGGTAGTGGTTAGCAGTGGAATCCAGGATGCGCATTTACGGATTCTACTGCTAGCCACGATCCATCATTAACACAATTAGAACGCTGTCAATACCGAGGCATCCGCACAGGAGCGCATATGCCGATAGAGACCGATCAATTCTGTCGAATCAACGACGGTATCATACAAAAACAATTATACTGAAAGTATGCACGTCGCACAAGAAGTGGCTATCGTGGCTCGGTAGTGTAGTGGATAAGGCGCTGGCTTTTGAAGCGATCACTCCAGAGTCGGAATCCCGGTTGGAACAATATCACTCAGTGGGAAGCAGGTACATCCAGCTGACCAGTGAGTCCAAAATAGGACGAAATGTGCACCCTGGATTCCACTTCTAGCCACGATTCATCATTTACATATATAATTTGGATATTATAATGAGAAGACGTAAGTTATTTGAACAATACGTTATGTATTTGCGCTATATATATCGAACATTATGATCCTCCCCACTTTTACTTGTTACGACATTATATATGAAAACTGGAAGTGGGGAAGGACAAATATAAGATAAGAGAATTAAATAATAAGAAAGACAATGAAAGGAAAAAAGAAAAATTGAAGACAACCTTGGTAATACGATAAAATAACCATTATCAAGATAGGCTTAGCATAAGAAGAAACTGTTTTCGCACATACGATTCAGGATTAAATTTGTTTATGGTCATCGCTTCAACTGACAGTTTTCATACAAAATTGTAAAGGTAGTTTTAAAATCAGTTTTGTGACGTTTATCAATGATATGCTTTGCAATGGATGATGGTGGTTTTCTGCCAGCTGCGCTAATTGTTGTTGTGAATCCAACTGCTTTTGTAGCCATTTCGGTACACGTCTTTCTACCATCAAGTGCATATCATGGTTAGTCCTCCCCATGTATATCCACATACATCTATGTAAATTTATAAACACAGTGGGATGTGATGGAATGGTTCTAACAACGTTGAGGTCTATGTTGCAGCAGGTGTTTGGTCTTCTCAACTATTATGAGCTTGGCTGTATAGTATGTTTTACTAACAGTAGACCTTAACCTTCGTTTTAATATTGTGCTATTATATTCTTCTCTGTATGGTAACGTCATGCAAACACATATCTTCGAAACAGAGTACAGACTAGATTTCAA